ACGTGCCTGAGAAGAAGGTTGCAACCCAAGCGCGAAAGGTTGGACCAAAGTTGAAGTGGTTGAGTATGACGTCGAGGACTGGCCACATGACGCTGTCAAACGCCTTCGCAAAGTCAAGGAGAACGCCTCCTGCCGCCGTCGGTTGTGGGTGGAGAATTGGATCTGCCTGCCAGCACTCATGTTCTTGTTTGTAGATATGGTCAATGCTGGAGAACTTGAAGAGTGCTTGGTGGATGGACCGATTGGGGATGGATCCGTACTGGTCTTCGTGGATTAGGCTCGGGAGGACCGAGCCGAGGCGGTACGAGAGAATTTTTGGGCCGAGCTTAGCGTCGGCGTTAAGGAGTGTCAGTGGCCTGTAGTTGCCCGGGAGGAGGCGGTCACCGGATTTGTATAACAAAGACAGGTGAGCACGGCGTAGGAATTTGCTCATGCATGCGGCCTTTGGCGAGTTGTAACGCGTAGGTCATGGAGAGAACGTAGGCCCAGTCATGGGCGTGGAGCGCGTAGCATTCGATTGGAAGACCGTCCGGGCCTGGTGCTTTATCCTTGGCAGTATGAATGATGGCGTCAAAGAAATCGCGTGCCGTGAGGGGGGCATCCAGGAAGCTGCGGTGCTCTGGAGTCAATGACGTGGTCGTGGTGGAGAGAATGTCGTCGAGTATGGCACGGTCGAAGGGTCGTGATGGGGGAGAGATGTCCCGGGAGGGGCTATGGAAAAGTTCGGCCCAGAAGGTACGGAAGTGCGCGGAGGTCGCTGTGTGTTCAGTCTCTGTAGTGACAGGGATTTTGGTAGGCAGGGCGGTGATGGAGGGTTGGCGAAGAAAATCGCGCGAGCAGGATTCCCCAGATGCGACAGCCGTGTCGAATTTGTTGCGTCGTTTGGACTCCGAGAACGCCTCGTAGAAGGTATCATATGCGGTTTTGGCTGCTTGTAAGGTAGAGGCAGTTGTGAGTGTCGGCATGATGGGCATATTCACTTTGACGGAGAGTGACGAGTAAATTGTAGAGCTTGCGTTGGTTGGACTGATAGTATTCCATGAAGGCTTCCCGTAGGTAGATGCTATCTGCGCGCTTGTGTTCATCGAGGAGGCACCCTGGATTGTAGTTCTGCGTCGATGTGGGTCCGAGAGGTTGCAGCAAGGAGTCGAGAGAAGCTCGGAGGCGGACTTGGACCGGCTGAAGTTGGAGAAGCCAAGGGGGGCATCGCCACGGCGGGGCGACGGAGCGGGGAGACCAGCATCGTGTGTGGAGAGTAAATATGATCGGTACGTGATCGGAGTGATGCCAACGCATACCCATGGCGTGTTTGATAGAGCGCAAGTGGTGCGAGAAGAGCGACGGGCTAATGAGAACCAAATCGATGCGGCGTGCGCCATGGGGAGCTGTGTATTCTTGGCGTTCCGGGTACTTGAGGCGCCAAGGATCCACGATGTCCAAGGCCTGTTGCCAGGTCAAGAAAGCGAGACGAGACGGGTCAAAACGGGCGCGGCGGCTGGTAGAGTGGCCATGGTCGAGCTGCCCGATGGTTGTATTGAAGTCGCCACAGGTGATGAGGGTGGCGTCCGCGGGGAAGGCTGTGGGCAGGCATGTGAAGAAGGATGTTCTTTCGGTGTCGTCGACGGGTGCGTATATCACGTGAACATATACGGACTTATGATTGAGTTTGCCTTGGATAACCAAGTTGCGATTGGCGAGTTGAGGGGTGTCGGAGACAAAGAATGAGGAGAGGTCGATGCAGTCCTCGAGAGGACAAGCCGCCGTGAGGAGTAGCCCCACACCGGTGTGACCAGAGAAGATGGGGGACGTGTCATGGGACCAGAATGCCTGGCCACCGGCATCGGTGGTCATCCAGTGGTGGGTGGCTGCAGACATTCGATCTGCCGAGGTAAATTTGGTTTCTTGGAGTGCAATAAGTGAATGGCGGGAGGCAAGGTTGTTAAAGATGCGAGTGGATAGGTGGTTGAGGCCGTTGGCGTTGATGGAGACGCCGTTGAGTTGCCATTGGCTTGAATTAAGCGAGGGAGCAACCAAGATGGTGGGTACGAAGCGGGTGTGCTTCGGCAAGGATGGTAATGGCGTCGCGGAGTGCGTGCGGGATTGCGCACGTTAAGAGGTAGTCGCCAAGTTCGGAGCGGGCGAGAGCGCAAATGGTGGCATCAGTCCACAGGACGTGCGGGTTCGCCGGCAAGGTGGC